TCATCAAGTCAAAATCCATGGAGTGAACATTATGAACAAGGCATATTGCGAGCCCTAAAACCATAGAAATCTGGAGTAGATGCATTTTGGGTGCTTCTCTAGTCGTGTTATCGTTCAACTGACGCAAAGTAAAAAGCGATTAATAATAAGTAACCTTACTGTCAGCGGAAGTTGTAATTCAAAACGTATGCTGTTAAGTGCACGCGAACAGTTGTATGTTTGGATTTTGGCCAACAAAAAAATGGAAATAAATGAAGCGTTAGACTCACTGCTTCCTTAGCATCTTCCGGTCAACAAATGATAAGGCTTAGCATCCGGGGAAATGTGGAAAGCATGCAATAGTGAAGATTTTCTGTATTTGCTTTGAAATGATATTTTTCCCCCTGGAGTTTGCTTCAATAAACGGTGATAATGGTTCTAATTCCAAATACGAATTCCAATGAGTGCAAGTATTTAAGGAATTTTCATTAATGGCTTTAATACTCTTTCCATTGTATATGTGTTTATCTGGTTTTCTAAGTTTATAAGGGCCTATATTGGTATGTTATTTATGTGAATTTCTGATTCTTAAGGTGATGTTACAGCAATAATCTCTTGTGCAGGAATTCTGGGTGTGCATAATCAAAAAGAATCGAAAGAAAGACCGGCACTGGTTGACATGATCGAGGATAAAACAACGAGAAAGGAACAAATCTTCAAGGCTAAATTTATTCAACATGGCAATCTAAAATATAATCTACACACCTTTTATGTCCCCTCTCAGACACACATGGCTGTGTGCAGGTTTATGCATTAACAATTCTAAATGTAACGATCTACTTAAGCAATCATGAGCATAGTGTATTTCAAACTGTTGGTTTGCAGACTGTAATAGTCCAAATCAATTTACTCAATCACAATCAGCTGAACAGGTTGAGAGACAATCTCGGCGCCATTGTTGACAGACACTGAGATAAACGCCGTGTCACATGTTCCGATAGCAGCGCTCATCGGGGTCGTGAATAAAACACTGAAGAACGCCCACCGTCCTCCCTCGCCTTATGGTACGAATTTTACTTTTAATTCTTGCGTAACCAAGCCGGTCTTTGACATTAATCTTTACCCTCTTATTCACATTGGCGGAGTTGTAAAGATGGAACGTGACTGTGGAGTTCGTTCCTCTGCGTAATGTGAAGTCATTAACAGAATGGAGGACTCTGAGTTGGACGTGTTTTGGCTCGACGATACTGCGAGAGATTCTTTCAAACGGGTTGCCTCTTTTTGTTGTACCTTTGATTTTTAGCTTGAAGGGTCGGGAGGGTGGGGTGAAGGTTGCTGTATAGCGCACTCCTCTGCTGTCAGGCGTCAGTTGGAGGTCTCGTATGTGTTTGCCATACTTTGTGATCAGTTCCAGAACAACTGAGTTCTTACGGGTTTTTTCGTTGCCTGCTAACGTTATAACAACTTTGCTGTTTTCCCCTAAAAAAGCGAAGAGAAAGAAACTTTATGGTTATAATCGCACGTATGTCAAGGAGATTATTGAAGTCACTCACTCTCAGAAGCTATTCAACTTTATTAATGTCCAACTGATGTGCAAAATCATGGTTCTCAAGCTTTCTCTTCGCAAAATATGCTACTTTCCATACGCTTTGATTTTTTCAATAAAATCTGTTGGATCTGCCGGTGTACAGAAATTCATGAATGAGGAAGCACAAGCAGGGTACTCTGGTACTGTTATCCGAATGAGAAGTTCCGGCTCTAGACCGCTCTTTTTCTCTGGTTCGTTAAAGGTTTTAGACTCAATTTTAGACGTACACGCGTACACAGTCGCGTACAAGGACAACACAGTATCGAGATAACTCATTCCGCAAAGAGTGTGAGCATTTAATTCCAAGATCCAACTTTTTCGACTTCTTACGATACCGCTGTGCTTCTTGATTACAGAATCAATGACTCAAGGTCACTGTTTTCGACCTTAACGAAAATATTCACAAATACTAACCGCACAGCAAAGAATGCACAACTTCAACGATGCAAACATGAAATTCTATGAACCTTCACTGATACAAGGTTGTGCACAAAATTAAGGCTAAATCAGAGGAACAGAACTTTCAACCAACAAAGAATCAATCAAACTCACCTATCAGAGGATCCGTCACGGGGACTTCAGAAGCAGGCTTTTTTATGAGCATCAGAAAATAGTAGTCAAAGTCTATATTTTGGTCGCTGTTGGACTTGACAAAGTAATTATGCATACCAGCACTGGGAGGAATGACTAGGGTCCAGGTCCCTACTCTGGGACTCGCAATCTCGTAGATTGAAACCTTGGACATGGAGACTTTGCCGGATGTAATCGTTACACCTGAAAAATATGGTTATGACCAGATTTTGATAAGATAGGAAAATGTTTATATCTGCCAGATATACATGCAATGTATGTACGGTCACGTTATTGTATGTAGGACAATTTTGGAAAAGGAAAGCATTAAATTAGATTAAATAAAAATCTTTAGGAGATAGAGATCCTTTTCTGATAAACTAACAACAGAAGCGCTGGGAAAATAACCTTGGGCAGCGATGGCGGTCACGTGATATAAATGATTTTCTTTGTCACTTTAGCTTGAGACACTGCCTATATGTGCAGTAAAAACTGCTGTAACTCACCTTGAGAATCTGTCAGAGAGATTGCTGCTCCCTGATTTGGACGGTCTGTGGTGACACAGATCGACATATTGCCTATCGAGTCATCAATCTTGATGCTGTACCTACTAGCTGTCAAAGCTGCTCTCTTCTTGCGGTTGAAGATATTACACCCAGAGTTGATGATAGTGGATCCTCCAAGAACACTTCCGGTAAAGCCATTGAGATTTTGTAGCTCTGTTGCACTGGTGAGACTGAGCATTTGACCGGAAGTGGCTTCAGCTATTTGCATGAAAGGACTGTCCGTCACACTTGACCCGCGACATAGAGCTGTTGTTCAAGCATCAGAAAAATGATATGTTAACTACTAGCATCGTATTTCGCCACATTATTTTAATCTATTTATCTATCAATTATTTGAAGGTTGTGTCTGTACCATTGCGCATGGTTTCAATTTGCTCTTTTTCGCACCTACACTTTCATCTAAACTAAAATTTTACTCTTCAATCAAAAACATACCTGTGGTAAAAAAGTTGATAACAACTTTCCCCAAAAACTTTGCCATGATTTTAACTTCATTGATGTTTTCTGGCGTTGCATCCTTAGCTGAGGCATCAGTAAATACGTACATCGGTGAACCTGGATCGGGTCCCTCATACAATGCGTCTAGAATACCCTTCATTGTGAGTTCAGGACAGTCTCCTCCACCTGTGGCTTTGAGTTTGTTGATGGCATCAACGAATAATGCTCCTTCGGTGGTTTCTCTAAAAGTCACTGGGCCAGTAGCTTTATTAAGGTTATAAAAAAGAGTGAGCGAAGACCATAGATTATTTATTAGATGGAGAAGAAAGGTCAAAAAGTTGGGAACTGATTTTTTGACATTTACTATAGGAAACCCTGAATTAAAAAAGTATTTTGTGGCGAAAATGTCGTCATAAGGCTCTCACTTCTTTTGGCTTCATCCCCAGTCACCGTCGGTTTTCTCCCGCCTTCCTCTTAGGCTGGTTTGACCCAAAAAGTACGACAGCCCAGGATTAGCGATAAGCGTAATTAATATAGGCGTATCTTGTATCAGTGAGAACAGATTTGATCTTGTTTTTCACCTCCATTGAACATATGCCAAATCTCTTTTGGTTTGGGACAAACTTAATGACCACTATAAAGATTTACTTACTTGGATCATTGAATGGCGATAGGATGTAACTCACTGGATTCTCTCGTTGATAGTTTATAACATCCACTGCAATACGTTTGGCTGTGTCAATCTCATCAGCCATGCTCCCAGTTGTATCGATAGCAAACATGAGTGTCACGTCTCCCATTACAGCCATGAATTTGTCGAACTGAGCAGGGCCCATTGTTTGCTTCAGATCGTCCATAAAAACAGAGGCTTGATTCTGAGTTGATCTTCTTGATCTTGATGTTGGAGTAGAATTGTGGTTTTTAATGAGGAATAGCGCTTGTCCAAGTCGATGCCTTGCAAACTGGAACATTCTCTTCTGTACTGCTAGTTTGATGGTCTTTTTCATGTCTTGGAGCTTCTGATCGGAGTAGCGWATTCTCGATCGAGCTACCTCCGCTTCTGCGACAGCTCGTTCGATGGTTGCCATTGCTTCCAGGAATTTATTAGACGGCTTTGAACGTCGCCGATATGTCTTTGTTCGTGTAATGAAAGTTAGTTTAGTTTGTGGCTTGCGATTCCTTCTATAGCCACTTGGGGGACGCCTGAATCTGAATTTACGTCGATGTGTATATCCACTTGGGGGACGCTTGAATCTGAATTTACGTCGATGTTTCCGCATACTAAGAAATCCACCGCCACCGCCACCGCCACCGCCACCGCCACCGCCACCGCCACCGCCACCGGCACCGACGACACCGCCATGGCCATCAACTGGCCGTCTTCTTCGCGATTTTTTTTTGTTCCGTCGTTTATATGGATTTACCGGGGGATTTACGACTTTGAGCTGTGGTTGTAAAATGTTTACTGTTCTTTCTGTACCACTGGAATACTCCATCACCGTATCWCGGGCAAAGTTCATCAAGTCAAAATCCATGGAGTGAACATTATGAACAAGGCATATTGCGAGCCCTAAAACCATAGAAATCTGGAGTAGATGCATTTTGGGTGCTCCTCAAGTCGCGATGTCGTTCAACTGACGTTAAGTAAAAGGTGACTCGCTCATAAGTAACCTTACGGTCAGCGGTAGTTGCAATTTGAAACGTGTACTTTTATGGTTACATGGAATTGGGCGCGGGCGAAAAATTGCAATTTTGGGACATAGAAGACAGAATGGCGGAAAATTAGTTTCAGTTTAGAAATCTTTTAAGTATCTTCAAGAGAATATGAACTAAGAGAAGGAATTCCCGTGCCCCATCATGTGCACACTTTGATGCTATTTTTAGAATCTATTCTAAAAATATCATCCAATGATATCATTTATTTGATCGTTTGATTTTCTGCACGCGCATAGTACGCGCGCGCTCTACGCTGTTTGCTAACGTTTTCTCGTGCTTTTCTTATGTTCGAATGTTCAAATCTGCCCTCAAGATGAAGATGGAGGTCGAAAGCTTTTGAAAATAAATTTAAAAATACTCTATAAAGTTGAACAAATTACTACTTCAATTTCTTGTCGTATTTGCCAAGCTTTCGACGTGCACTTTCATATCCAGGGCAGAGTCGAAATAACGGAAAAACCACCAAAACGTAAGCAAACAGTGTTGAGCTCGCGCAGTAAATGCGCGTGTAGAAAAACAAATGGTTTAAAAATAGCATCAAACTGTGCACATGATGGTTACAAGGCTATATAGGGGGGATTCCTTCTCTTAGTTCATTTTCTCTTGGTATCTTCCTGTCAACAAGATTTAGCTTCTGGATGAAGGTGAAAAGGAGAAATGTTTGCATTTGTTTCGAACAGTTTATAAAAAAATAATGAACAATAATAATCATCAATCAATCAATAAATCAATCAATCAAAAACTTAAAACTTTCAACATTGCTCCATACATTTCTTTGTATTTTGTAATCAAAATATCTTCCAGTTTTATACTCAGTATAGAAGAAAAGATACCATCAAATAATTCTAATCACAAGTTATGTACGTTAAGTCCCTAAGCGGACCCTTGGGCTTAATAGAAATGAAGTAAAACATGAAGCTATTTACAAAGAAATGTATGGAGTAATGTTTAGTGTTGAGTGTATGACGTCACAGACTCCTATAAAAATTCGATAAAATATAATACTTCCCATCCGAATATCAGGAAAAGGCTTTAACCAGTGATTATTAGACCTTTAAGGGTTATTCAAGTAAAGTTTCAGCTGAATTGAAATTTGGATGATTTTCGTGCTAGTCCCCCTTTAAACACGGGGGAAAATCATAAGTCAAACATCTTACAATAAAGACAGTTCCTGCTTTGCATGATTGCCGTGTGGGAATCCGAAATTTAGAAAGAAACCTAACTCAAAATTCTTTTTGAAGCTAGCTATTGAACCAGTGTTTCTTAAATGTGATAAATTATTCCGTAATTTTGCACCGCTATAGCTAAAGGATCGTTTCAATTTATTTGTACTAGGGTTACGCTTTATTAGTTTGCCATTTTTGAGGATGGATGAAAATTTGAGAACTTTGAGAAAAACTCCGTGGCAATAGAGAGAACAACACATCAAACAAAGGCTTTTCATATGTGGCATTTGCAGCCTTTGAACCAGCGTTCCATCTATATTTGAGAAAGTATCAAGCGCAAATTAATCTTTCCCCAAATTTTTCGATTAATTAATTTGTTTGTTCCCAAGAGCCTAGAGATGTCTGTGCTTATCTTTCCCCCAGAAATATTGTGAGTGAGATAGTAGTTACTGAGATCTTTTATTACACAAATAACACACGATAACATTTCGTCAGTTAATATTCCGGCTTTAATACTCTTTTTATTGTATTGAAGAAAAGAAAACACTCGCGCGTGCTGTGTGCAGTCATAACGCACGCGGGGGTTGGCAGAACACGAGAGAGGTTTTTGGAGAAGCACGAAGCACGACGCGTAGCGAAGTGCTTCTTGACACTTTTCGAGTGTTCTGCCAATCCCCCAAATGCTTTATAACTCCACACAGCACGGCAAGCAAGTTTTTTTATTTCTTTCGTAAAATACAAATTACAATATAACCGTTATTTTAGATAGGAATGACGCAACTAAAAGTGCGTGCGCGTGCTGTGTGCTCTCATAAAGCGCGCTCAACCAATCAGAACGCGAGATTAATAACAGTTATTTTATAATACTCTTTTCATTTGTATATGTGTTTCACTTGTTTCCTAAGTTTATAAGGGCCTATATTGGCATGTTATTTTAGTGAAGTTCTGATTCTTAAGGTGATGTTACAGGCAATGACTTTTTGTGCGCAGGATGTAATGGCAAGACGCTGGTCGACTTGTTGGAGTATAAAACGAAGAAAAAGAAAACAGATCTTAAATTCATACATTAAATTCATTCAACATGGCGTCTATGACGTCATGTTCGAAGACTTCAACATTTCAGCAACAGTGTTACGAATAATTGGTGGAAACAAAATTACTCCAACGTGGCGGATGTGACGTCGCATGTGCCCTTTGCCACACATCAATATTTCTGCACTGAAAACAAAAGGCGGGAAAACGGTAGTTATCCAATATCCACTCTGAGGACCCTGCGATTCAGCAACAAATTTTCCAGAAAAGCAATAATGGTGCAAAAGAAATATTCAAAAAATATATTAACTGTAACATCACATTTATCTGCAAATATATAGTGACTATGGTATATGGAGTCCTGGTATTTTAGCTGTAGTTGACTCGTTTAGCGGCCTTGCTTCGTAGAACATATATATTGATAAATATATTTATATATATCACTGACTATACCATAGCCATAAAGATTCAGAACCTCATCGTAGTCAAACACGTGACTGAAAGACAGAGCAGCCAGACCCAAAAATAAAGTTATGAATATGATACTTTGTTTGATCAAATGTCGAATCCTTTTTATAAATTTATTGGTCAAATTAATCCAAAGAAAAATATTGAGTATACGTTACAGAAATCAAAGAAAAACTGAGCAAAAATAAGATTTATAATAAAATTAATAAAATATTTATTTATAAGTTAATCTAGTTGAGAGCCTGCTCGAAAGGGCAACCTGGGAATGTCCTGATGTTATCTCATTTCTTGTCTAGATCTATTTTTAAATATTACCGATTTGTTTTACGTACACACTTGTTCATTCTAACTAACAAACCAATCAACTTTCCATTGTGTTATTTATCGTTTATTAATGGCCTTGGCCGCCCCATCCTTCTTCATGGGTACACTTGAGCTATGCTATGTGTTTGCTATAGTGATGGATTTGTTGTTCATCTTTTGTAGCTCTCGAGAATCTTGGTTATTTGTTTGACATCGAAACTGGTTTTCTCGCTTTGTGGGGAGTCGTCGCTGTCTTTGGCATTCTGTGAAGAAGAAACCGCAAACGCTTTGATGAAGACTATAACCTTAGCAAGAGGTGCGATGAACCATTAAACAAAATTGTTTCCCTCTTAAAAACTAAAAACCTACTAAACCCCTCCCTCTCCCTCTCCCCCTCCCCCTCTCCCCCTCCCCCTAAGTCCCCCAATCCCCAATCCCCAATCCCCACCTCGGCATTATGTTAGGGCATGTTTGGTTTCACCAAAACTATTTATAATCTATTATATATCTATTATCCATTAAACAAAATTGTTTCCCTCTTAAAAACTAAAAACCTACTAAACCCCTCCCTCTCCCTCTCCCCCTCCCCCTAAGTCCCCCAATCCCCAATCCCCAATCCCCTCCTCGGCATTATGTTAGGGCATGTTTGGTTTCACCAAATCTATTTATCTGAGAGATCCTATCTAACAACGTCCACCTTTGCGAAAATAATCCAACTTCTATTTTTGGGCTCCCAAACTGGGGGAGAGGAGTTAATTAAGGCAGTGTGGACATCGCCTAACAGCGATTTTTTTGTTGTTGGCTGCTCTATTGAGGATCGCGCACTTAGAAGCTCATGCACTCGCCCCCTCTCCTTTCATATATGAAAGTACACCTCCCTGTTCAGAAACCAATCTTTCTTATTATCTCCTGATCATTACAACTCGAACAAGGTGGCTTACCTTCTTGTTTACGCTTTCCATCAGATCGTCAGCAAGCTTTTCTCCCGCCCTGGGGCTATCTGCTGGCACTCTGAGAATTTCTACGTTCCTGTCCTCGTCACGTTGGACGCAGGTGAACATTCCAGGCCTGCACCTCCTTCGTTTTTGAGGATCTTCTTGCTCTTTGCTGATGATGCTCACTATTCTGTCAATTACGTCTTGTTTAGTTTCTTGCTTCATGTCATCCTTAATTTTCGGTAAATCTAACGATTTCTTTTGAGTCTGAGTGTCGGTAGTAGCCGTCGCGTCGTTTTTATCACACCAGAAAAGACCAGGTCGACATCGTCTTCGTTTACCGATTTCATCGTCAAGTTTTGATAGCTTTTTAAGTGACGCTGCATCTTCGGTGGAGACTTGATCTCGTGACTTCTTGCAGAAGAAGATACCGGGTCTGCAGCGACGACGGGGGTCGTTTTCGAGCATCCTGACTTCTTCCTCTCTGCGTTTGTTCAAAGAATTTTTGATGAGAGCGCTGAGACCAGGATTTTCTCGAAGTACCTCTTCGAGTTGCCTCCGTCGTTCTATCATGGACCGTGAGCTGAGTGCTTCTTGTACTTCTCGTACCTTTTCCACATCTTGTTTCCTCCTGTCTCGCAGCATCTGCATTAGTCTTTTTATTCGAAATACAATTTCTGATTTTGGTGGGATATTCTGTAGATTAACAATACAAATTGTTAATGTATATTTTGTTTGTTTGACAAGCATGCATGCAGTGGGTCGAGGTAATGAATACGGACACCGCGACGGTACAAAACGCAAGGAATAGCCAATCAAAATGTGCTTTGGAGCACTGCAATTTTAGAGTATAATATTATAAGCGAGGGATGCCCACCTGCAAGAAAGAGATAAACCAAGAAAACAACAACAANAAAAAAAAAAAAAAAAAAAAAAAAAAAAAAAAAAAAAAAAAAAAAAAAAAAAAACGACAAACAAACGAGACGCAAAAAAGAGGAAGGCCATGCAGAGGGGGAATGCGCTCTGGAGAATTGGAAATTCAACCTTATGTGAAGGAGGGAAGCCTGCATGAGAGAAAGCAAGCAAGCAACCAGCAATAAACAAACAAACGCAAAGAAAGACCAAGTGCATATGTACTTTGCCAGTTGTAACACAGTGGACATGCAAACTGTTAGAACTACCGTTATAAATTAGGGAACCCTGTATGATTACCGAAAGAAAACAAGCAAACAAATAAATAGGAGGCCGAAAGAAAGACAAACAAGAGGTTACAGGCTCACGTGGCGTGCAGAGCAGATACACACCGTGATTTACGCTCAATATGTAGTTTTGAGTGTGCTGCTTACCTCAGGCTTTTCCTCGTGAGATATGGCGCCAACTAAAGCTAGCGGAAGAAGAAGGAACAAAAGTGTATTTGCTAACAACATTTTCGGTTGAATGGAGTTGAAACAAGCTTGTTGTGATGCTGGGTTCAAAGTTCTTCTTCAAAGCTGTAAACGAAACGAAAAAAAGAAAACGTCAATGTTCTCTACATCAGATTCTACAGTTTTAAGCACGACGTCTGGATCTGATGACATCAAACTCGTGAAATAGTTTACTGATAATCTGGTCTAAAAACTCATTTGCACCTATGATCTAGCTGGATAACATAGATGGCCGGGTTTAGAGCGTGAACTTTCTGATCACTATATTGAAATGGTACTTTACAGAAATGTTACATAGTTGTCTAAATATGCCTTAGGGATATTCACATTATATTGGCGCAGTGTTCCAAGCGTTTACCAATGATAAATATATGATCGACGTCCAAGACAACGTATCTTGCCTTAGTTGCTGACTAAGAATGACACAGCATTAAGTATTTCTTTGTGTTGTCCAGCACCTACGATTGGAATTCACTTGCATCAGAAATTACGTAGAAGTGTTTGCACAAGCAGGCGTGACTTCACAACCTTTGACAATTATTTGAAAACGATATAAAATTATCTTTAAAACTGGTAGAAAAATGTCGAGATTTCATTCAGAAGGCTAGATAAGAGGATCATTATCAAAGAGGTCGCATAAAGACGTAATTGACCTAAGGGTACTTAGATATGATAGTTGTTTAACTAAGCACCACGAGTCAACATTCATCCTGACAGCTACTATATAAACAAGTGTCTATGAATCTCATCTTATCTTATCATTGAACTATACTAATGACTTCATATGAAAATTCTTATATTAGTGAAGGACGATATGTAGTAGATAGAGTCATCAACCTTTGTTGTTCTAGCTAAGAATGGCTGGCCCATATTATTTTATGTTACGTACTTTACAATCTATTACCACCCTCTTCAAAACCGGTTCAAATTGCTCGCGAGTATGGAATCTTTTAAGACAACTATAAATAATTTGCTTAATAAATTTAATAAACATAGGAGCCAAATTTTTTTTTTGTTCAATGCCTTGGAAAAATGCAAAAGCACCATTGACTCAAGAAGACTTAAAAAAAGCAAAAAAGCTTGAAAAAGTATAAAACAAGCTTGCGCAACTAGATAGAGTAGTGAGTTTGGCTTTCTTGACGATGCAAGCTGCGCGGTAAATATACAGAAGTGCCCTGTAACATGGGCTTGACTAACGCGTGCATTCCTTCAGCAGATCCGAAGCAGCCGAAGTTACAATAAAACAAACGACAATACGAGATTTGCAAACAGAAATGCACAGATGGAAATCACAAAGTCAACTACCTTACACCAGGAACGACACCCCTTGGTGTGGTTAGTGCTATGGTCCAAGAAATATTTCCTATACTAAGATCGAGAAGTAATACTTCCTAGTAAACTGCCTACTGCCACATGTTTGACAGTTAGACATCATGGTCTATCAGTATTATAAAAGGTAAGTTATTTGGTTAGTTTATTTTAAATTCAGCATGTCTCCTAGTGACATACTTTGGATAATCCTTCTGATCCGATTAGAGTTTATGTTTATATTTTTCTTTCAAGCTAATTATCTTATATAATTTTTCATCAAAAATGATACAAAGGGATTTAAATATCTTGGTGTGCACCGCGAACATTTTTTTGTGACCAATGAAAAAGAGGAATTATAACGAGAGAAACCTAACTGAACGATACACTGGAAAAGAAGAAAAAAAGAAAGAAAGAAAGAAAGAAAGAAAGAAATTGATATTTAGTTGCTTCTCATTATTCTTTCTCCTATTTTTCTATTTTCGGTATGATAGAATATTTTCATGTCTTGCTATTTTCAGTCTATATCAATCAGTTTTTCAGGTCATCAGAATCATTGTCATCCTCCAACTTACAAAATGACACTATAATACGTTTAGTCTCCGCAATATTCATTACCTATCCTAATCCGGCGTTCGTGGTCGAAAAATGATCCTAATACTCTGAACTCCAATATGTCTATATGTAGTAAGGTAACTAACAAAGTGTAATGAGAGTTTTTTAAATTAGTTTCGTGACTTGAGAAATAAATCTCTGTGTGTTGTAATAATTGTTGCCAGCTTAACTATCCGCGATAAACTAAGAACTGAACTCAAATACAGAATTGCATGAAAAGCAATGTATCCTAAGATTTTTTCATGGATGTATCTTTATTGTTTACGCGTACGTGTTAATAGTGTACAATTTTTTTTGCGTGAAGACATACTGCCATTTAGCCTGTTGTACCCCTAGTATTGCCTTCAATCTGTCTTGTACAAAGGAATTAGGAAAATGATAAATAGCTTACTCTTTAAAGGAAAACAAATCGAAAAGTCATTGGTTGGTCAATTAGAGAAAAAAGGTGTCCATAAGCCTTAATATCAACACAGTTTTTAATGACAGGAAGCACATAGAACTTCAACCTTTAGGAAATTAGTTTTCAAAAATAACATTGCGAAGAATCCTTTTTTTAAGTAACCCTAATCGAAGAACCCTAATTAAGATCAAAAACCAGTTATCTATTTTCATACATCTTGTCACTTCATTCCCCATTATGATCAATGAATACAAGATGATACTTGTAAAATATATAGTCATGTGGCACAGATAAAGGTTTGAATGTAACTAACCTAACTTACCAGTTCTTGAATCGTGTAAGATCTGCGATAATTCGAATTGTGTTTCTTCACTGAAGCGGCTTTGTAATACAGAGGTCGATCAAGACGGCCCACGTTGGTTGAAAAAAAACTGCGTTTGTTCATGAATGAACTCGGTTCGTCTATTTATTGGCCGCAAATGACGTCATGCCATTGATTCCATACCTCCTTTCAATGTTATTTGTGTTGTGATATTTGAGGGCATTATCTAGATACGTTAGTGAATCTTGCTAATCCCACCGTGGGCTGGCCGCTTTCATACACCAACATTACAACAAAACTGTTCTCACATTTCAACTTGTACATCCTTCGAAATCCTCTTTTGATAATATGAATTCCAAAGTTGTATAGAACTGAGTTGTTTTCGATACTAGGGCGTCAGTAAAAGGAAAAACTGCCCCTAGGTATGTGTGTCATAAACAGCATTTCCTAACTTCTTGATTTAATGACCATTTCCGTCATCGCCTTCGCAAAGAATTAGATACATTATTACTCTTGTTCCAAAAGGATTATTTCCCGCCATCTACCCTTTCTTCGGTGTTATTACAAGAACAGTAAACTAAAGCGCGACTCATCAGCCTGTTTTAATTACATACTTTTGTTTTCACCCACGCGTTCACAGCATGGCATTTTCTAGTTTATTACTTACCCCTGGCGTACAAACTCGAATTTTCTGGGAAATTTTTTTCAACATTCTTTCTGATCCACCTTGACAGGTTTTTTAGCTACGTCGAGTTTATTACTATCAGACTCATTTCCGGTTGTCAGATGGTTGACAGGATGGAGAGGGTGATGAATTTGTTTGAGATTCCCAAAGATAACGGCACAAACGAGGATTTAAACATGGAAACATTTCCACTTGCCACTGATGCTTACCAATGACCCTATTTGACGCTGTGTATCTACCTGTCGTATTTTTTTCTGTAGAAAAACCCACATCAAATCATTGCACACACCTCTCCCTGCACACAGAGTCAACAAAACTACATACGCTGATGATCTTTCTAAAGGTGGCTCAGTTTTGAGTTGAGACTGAAAAATGCGGAATCTAGCTCGAGTATTTATAGAGGGACTATCAATGGATCCTGTTCCTGCTGAAGCTGTGATGGACCGGCAGGAAATTGAAATCCATATCGTTACAATTCATGGTATGGCACGTTAATAAGGACTATGATGATTAATTTGTTGAATATCTGTTCCTCAATCGGTCGTTTGAGCAGGCAGACATTCCTGTAAAGGTCAGTCAGTTATGTAGACTTGCCTTAATGGGCAAGAAATAACAGCAAAAGAACCGAGGGTGAGATAGTTAGTGAGAGATGTAGACACTAATTATGGCTGAAAACAGTAACAGGAAATTTGGGGAGGGTTTTGAATGATAAAATAAGCATCATTAAAGAGAAATATATATAAACAAGTATATATGTACCTATAAGGGACTTGGGAACAAATCAAATCTGTTACAAAAAGTACAAATAAGTACATGTTTCTATATCGTTGATTTGATAAGGTGTTATTAGAAATGGACGCCTGTTGAGAACGTGCCGAGGAAGGCCGCGTTTTTCAACTACAAAAATAAATAAGCAGAACAAATTTCTTAAAAACAGTTTTTTTTATGATGGGTGGAGAAATTTGAGTTGCATGACAGTTTTAATTTAGCATTTGTATCTCGTCTCTATATTTTTTCATTTCAAAGTTAAGCATTAACGTGTGAATCACTCCGATGTAAAAGACTTTCATTGCGAAATTAAAGGGCTTTTTAAAATTAATACGTCGTGCCTAATGATGTAATAGTCGTGCGTCTTCCGAATTGCTGAAGCATGTCATCTTAGTTTTAAATGATTTTCAGCCGAAAGAATGTGACTAGACGAACACGAAGAAAGTGCTGTTAACCATATTTAGGAAGACGATGACACCAGATGAACGTTCCAATCTGCTTGATTAGACTTTTCCTGAAGTAGGGTTATCTGTGAAGGGTGTTCTGAAATTTCACTGATTTGTACTGTAACAGGAAAATTTGGAAACACTGAATGCGAAAAAAATCATAGGCTTACCATTGAGTCTAAATTTTACCTCAGATTAATCCCGACTTCAATGCTATAAGCCGGATCTTTAGGGAAGTATAACAGAGTTTAATTCGACGCCTTGTTTCTTGTTCCTGTTTCTATATTTGATTGACTAACAGGATACTTCCTTGATTCAGTAAGTTCTATGCCATCCAGCTAATAGTCGAAACGTTTCACATTTAGGCCCCGTCCACACGTATACGGAAATTTTTGTATCCACAAATTACTTTTTGCGGATACGAAAATGTTTGCGTCCACACGCAGCGTATTCGAATCGTTTTCACCGTCCACACGTATCCGTTTTCGTAAAATTTGCGGATACGGACACAAAAATTTGCATACACGTGTGGACGCAGCCCGTATGCGTAAAAAAAAAGATCGCGGATACAAAAATTTGCGGATACGTGTGGACGGGGCCTTAGATGACTATTTCTTAAACTATTTGCCTTAAGAACAAGCTTTTACTTAGATCTTGGAATAATGAATGGGACACTTACTTATCGTACCAGGAGACTTATGATTTACCTTAGCTAATGTTCTACCAACTTAACTATGGATTAATTTGTCAGTGACTTTCAAGAACAAACGTCCCGAAGCGTCAGCGTTTCAATAGTTTGTCCGGAAAGACTGGATTGACTGATCGCCTTATTTATTGTTAGCGCTATCTTTGCAGTTCCTTTAAGTCTTATGCAACATCAAAGCCTTGATAGCTGTAGTAATAAAAAGCTTTCTGAAAATATTTGATGACATAGGTCTACTTGGTGTTTGTTTACAGAATGCTTTCAATTTGATCCCCTTGGCGGGAGTTTGTTTAACGGGACTAAGAGGTTTTTATTTCCGTTTCATACCGTCTTAACTTGCTCATTTTTTCTTAAACTCAATACTCGATAAAACTGGTTTCATTTTCATTTTTTATCTCTGAGCGGCAGCTATAACTCTTTTGGACACAGAAATATTGACTATGAAAGAAGTGTTCCTATATCAACTGCCTATGCATAAGAACAATTTCGTATTGAATATATAAGTTTGCCCAAAGTAATTCTGGGGAGTACCACAAATTCTTGATTGGTGTTAAGGAGCATGACAGTAAGATAGGTTTTCTGCTAATACAAAGAATTCATTAAGTAAGCCATAATTTTCTTCATTGACCAAGGCGGGAATATATGCCTCTTCGACGTCGGTACTTTGTTGCAATGAATTCGAAAAACTAAAAACAGCTAGGGAAGTACAAAATAAAACATTTGATAAGATCTCCATTAACCAAAGTCAAATGTTTTCGTAGGCAGTGTTTCCAAAAGGCTGTTTCACAGAAGCCTGTGAACGCCATCTTGATTAAATCAACAAAAGAAACACGACAAATTTTGGTTAAATTCACTCAAAATGGCAGATGTGACGCCCTTCATAAGTCCGCGGAATAGCAAAAGAAGATATTTTGGCTCGTTTCATAGAAAACTCGATCTCAAGAGAGTAGAAAAAATTATTATTTTTGTGTTTTTAACCTTCACCGTTGCCATGCTCTTAATTATTCATGTCCAATATATTTTTTACTTGTGTGAGGGTCCATATACGAGATGGGCTGGTTCAAGCCTCGGCCGGACCAACACTCAGAGTCTTAAAATAACTGAGGAGAATGTGCTGCCTTTGTAAATACATCTGCAAATGGTTAGACCTTCAAAAGGCTCGGATGACCACTTTCAATGGCGGTCCCGTCTCTCCACACTTCATCATTACTAACCAACATAGGAGGGACGTAAAAGAACCACTGAGGACGTAAAAAGTAACCCTGGCAGTGACCACCCTCAGTGCCTAGCCACCTCTCGTTCTGTGAAGCGCCTTTGAACATATGCATATGGTTAAAGCGCGCTATATAAGTTTTTATCATTATTATTATCATTATTGAAGACTTGATCCGCCCAAGAGTTGGCAATCAATAGCAATAACTGATTTAATGCTTGGAATAAAATCAAGCATCAAGTGTCCTTTTGTTCTCATAGGATTGAAAAGACCATAACCACATTTCTATATTTATTATTTTTTGGCCCCGTTTTCATAAGTCGCCTGTCATTGTCAGAACGATAATAATTAAAGAAGTACCGGTAGATTCGCTTTTGTCAGTTAATGACTGTATTGTCGTTCAATTGACTGCCAACAGAACCAATAGAATAAACATTTATAACAGCTGAACTAGTTCGCAATCGACAACTAATATATTTAACGAACTGCTGTGTAAAGATTTGTTTTCCTACGTGAGGAAGGCCGTGCTCAAACGACAGGTTAATTAAAAAGGAGGCTAGCTTGGTATAACTTTGAGGTTCTGAATAAAGGACGAATTTTGTGCTGGTCATAATTGATTCGCATAAGAACTGAACACTCTTTTCCTCGTCAAAAAAGACCAGCTCAGCAGTTTTGAGGTGCTGAACCAAGGCCATGCAGTATAGGTACACTTATGATGGGTATAATGTTTGCTGTAAGAATTACTGTAAGAATTGCTGTAAGAAACATCCTTCGAGGTCCGTCGAAAGGACCTTGAAAGGGGAGTTTCGTTTTTTAGCATACAAATCTTAGTTATTCCACTTTTTGAAAAACTAAAAATAGCGATAAAACTCATTTTGTACTCCTGTAAAGGTGGAGAGGGGGAGGGTCGTTTGAACCATCGAACCACCCACCCCTAGCGACGGGCCTCCATTTCTACCAAGTGGCCGTTTCACGCATGTACAAAATAAAAAATGAAGTTGCTCATTAATTGCTCTATTTTTTAAAACCTTAAATGCTCTTGTCATAGCAAATTATAGAAATCATACTTCATCCTCTCGGCTGTTTGCGAGTCTGTGTGTAACCACATTTTATGGGTGATGTCACTTGATCTTTACTCTGTGGTCGCTTTACAACACTGTTCCATTACACGGAATTGAGTTTGCGGAGAATATTTTCTTATGTTCGCCCATTAAATCAAAAGCCTTCGTTTTAAGGGAGATATTTCTTATACAAACACCACGTTACCTCAAAATTCCCTGTGCTTCCGTACAATTTTCGTGCTCTGCAGAACAAGATGTTCAGAACTTTTTCCTACTCTCTTGTCAACCGGTTATCTCACTTAGAAGCTAATCCCTACAAGATGACATACACTTCACTAAATGGTTCTAAAATCAATGACCACCTTCTATTTATACTACTTATTTTCCATATATTTTGTGCTTTTTTTATTTTCGTCTTCCTGACAGCCGCTTGTGATGAAACGTTAGTTGTCAGCTATGAACGTTGTTCATTTGGGACGGCCAATTACATGTTTTATTAGATTGAAATTGAGACATATTACTTATATATTTTACAAAAACATCCGAAGGAAATTTCATTTTAAAAACTCATCTGTGCAAACACGGTTCTTGAGTGACAAAAATGTTATTAATTCGTTAATAGCAAGGTCGATAATCAAGTGGAAGAGTGACAACTGAAAAAAAAGACAGAAAAATTGACGAACTTCCAAACAAAAAGCTATGAGTTTGGCGGGGAAATGATTTTANTTTTTTTTTTTTTTTTTTTTTTTTTTTTGATGATTCCAGTCGGTTCTGCTTCAGAAACTATTTCTAATCGTACCGATTGGAAACATTTTAATTATAAGTTTACTAGAAACTATTTAACAAAATTAAACATTGAATATCTAGATTTGACAATATCCAAGTAAATAAAAGAATGTTAATAATAACAGAAACATTGATGCATACATGTGCCTTGACAACTCTAGTTAGTCGGTTAGTTCCCACTCGGCAAGCAACAACTTGATAAAGTAGTCTAACGAAGGTTACTTAAGTTTTAATCTAAAGGAATATACGTTCTTAGAAGGAGAACCATTTCTATTGCACTGCACGATTTATATGGTTTTCTATACGTGAATTACAAAGAGGACATCCATGACACCCGCTGACCTGGCGAACAGCAGTACGAAATCAAATCTATAAAACCATAGTTGATTAACATTAACTTTGATAAAACCATATAAATCGATCTTAAAGTGCGTTTTAATAGTGCGTTTTCTCGAGTTTAGTTGACCAAATAAGATCGTTCCAGAAACACATAGAGATTTAAAATACAACATCAACTTGGAAGTATTTCTATTGGAATTGAAGAAGTTGCCAAAACGTATGTGCATGTGCACTTCAGTTTTTGACTTATTTATTTTAGTATTGAAGCTAAAGTAAGGAAAGCTATAACTGTCTTTTTGCATACAAAAACGCCGAATTATAGACGTCAAAGCTTTTGTTACTAAATTTTAACTAATGTATGAATGATGTTATCCTTGTTTTTAAACTTGTTACCTACGGTCCTCTTGCTTCGTGGCCTATTCATGGTGCCAAGCACTCGTTCCCACTCGTCTAGTGTGGGGATAATCGGTTTATCTTATGTAATAATTCACTGAATTATTTCTTACAAATTTAGTAAAAGATTTAAAACATCTTCTAATTCTCAGCATAAACTCACGTATGTCCCCGTAAACCTGGTTTACAAATCTTGTGATAGTAAATGTTCTTGAATTCTCAATGTCTTGGTAAATGTCAGTGTTTCTATATACACTTATGGAAGAGATGTAGAGAAAATGTTAGCCATGACTTGCCTTTATTCACTATGTTTTGCTTTAAGAGCTTTGCTTTACGTTCCTGTCTTTCATAATTTCTCATAAGAAAATTGGTCGTGTTATAGGATTATCTCTCGGCTTCTTTCCTCACTAAACAAATTCGAGTCAATACAGATTTTGCCAAAGTCTATAATAAGGATTGGTAGATCTTCTTCTTCGATGCCTTACATTTACATTTACATTTACCAGTTAGGTCATTCGCTCAATACTGAGCATTTTAGACCACGCTAAATAATTATTAAAATGATTAAATAATTAACATATTAATAAATAGAATAAATAATAATAAATAGTAATTGTCCAACAAGTTAATAAATATCTGCAACTGCATTCTTAAATGCTGCAAGTGAGGTTGCTAGTGTTGCTTTCTTTGGGAGTTGGTTCCATTCTGAAAGTGTTCTTGGGTAGAATGAGTACTTGTAATAATACTTTGTGGCCATAGGCTGAGTATACACGTACTTAAAACGATTTGATGATGAAATTACGAGCAAATAACTGAAAATTAAAACATTTACCTCACTGTCGGACTGTCTGCAGTGCTTGGAGAGTTCCTCTGGTTGAAGAATCTGGCCACAGAATGACGCATAGACACCTTTTATAGATGAATGAATTTGACGTATATCAAGTGAAGTGTTATTTAAAGACAATGAGACATCGTCATCGTATATTAAAGATCTTCGTCCCAGCAATAATGTAAACTCTTTAACGTCCATCTGCTTCCGTACTTGTCTTGACGATTCAAATTTCATAAAATTTTAGATTATCAATTATCTATATTTAAGGACTATTGGAAATCGATTGGCATTGTGCGTTTGTGCAAAATGCCTTTAATAATAGAGGCTTTTGATTACTCTGACAAGGTGATAAGGGTATGGAGTTTGCTTCAGAAATGAAATTTCATTCACTAAATAGTGTGAGAATAAAGGATGTTTAACGAAATTTTGAAAATGCCAACAAACCATCAAAATTTTTAGTCTCTTCTCTGTGTTTTTTTTTTTACTATTTGACATATATATGAGTCTGTAAGGACATTGAATTCGCATAATAATGTTAAAAACTAAATAGACCGCAGAATAATCCATTCCGCCCATCGTTTCGATCATGATGAAATCAAACCAAAATAAAACAAACTTTTCTGATTGCTATAATTTTCCTGGACGTTTGCATTCTAATCTTAAACTCTAGCTTCTAAAAGACAAATTTATATAGACAGAACAAACTTTTTCCTTAGTAAAGAAAATTCTGCTATTTTTATTTCATTTTTTTATTTCAAAAATTGTCTGGTTCAGATTACAAGCAATAGTCGACAAAAAACTAATAAGAAACACTTCTAACTTGTCGTGAATGTGATTATTATATCTCGATTACCAAATTGAGAATGAATATAATACTGTTGTCTGTCAGCAATCTACAGAGCTCAAGTAGTTCCTAATGCAAATAAGTAAGGCAATCATATTAAACATATTCTATCAACTATTTGTTTTATAATATAGTTTATTATGAAGTGGGTTGCTTTGTTGACTTAGGACGCGTTTTATATTGCTTTATCTGGAATTATCTAATTGTTTTACGAAAAGATGATTTTCTCTGGAACTTCCTCGTTGCATTGAAATGTCATCTTGTGCTTAGAGCGTAGGTGCAATTGTTTATTTAATTGAAAAGTCCACAAAAAAAAAAAAAAAAGAAGAAGAATCATACATTTATCTCAGAAGTAGAATATGGTGCGTTTTATTTAATCCGTTCATTTTATAACATTTTAGGAAATTTTTAGAACAAATTCAGGAATTCAGGAACAAATTCCTCAAGGCGTTTTTCAAAACTGAGGGCCTGAGTTGGATCATGCAAAGAAAGTAGTTGAAGGAACTGAGATTAAATACCTCGATAAAAAGAATAAATTCATCCTTCAAGTTGAACAAAATTCGCCAGAATTTGAAATAAATAAGAGGATTTAATATATGTTTTAAAATTTATTGAATTTATTAATTATTATTTATTAATTACGAATTTCCTGCTCACAAGTAAAGTGAAACTGAACCAATTAATCATCAATATATTGACTTGTTCTTCTATTAATTTTAATCATGGTGTCCAAGTTTTTGTTTAAATTACGTACGCACGTTTTCACAGTTTCTGAATAATTGCGTAAGCTCAGGCACTACCATTTCACTAAGCCAACACCTTTTTAGCCAAATTTCCCTGATTAACACCAGGAGCTCTCGCCAGCCTTAAAAACTGTCTCCCGACCAGATTCAGTTTTTGATGAAAAACTTTCGAGTGTACTTTCTCTGAATAGCATGAGTTGTTCTAAGCTCAATCATTAAATACTAGACTGTTAACCTAGAAATGTTCATTCCAACACTTCAAATAATCGTCCTTTAGCTCACGGAATTTCTAATCCTTCTCATCTGCACTTATCTAAAGACTTAGCGAAAAACCTCAAGGCTTATTACGGATTTTCCCCTGGTCAAGGTGAACAACAAACACTTTTACTTAAAGACATCTTGCCATATTTAGCCATTTGTCAAACTTTAAGTAATTTATTYATAAACTTTTTTGACTAACAAGTGAAGGCTATTAATTCCACGAATACTTGGAATGGAAGACAGCGATAACTTAGGGGTGTGGGACCCTGTTTTTGATGTAAAGTATATAAATCGCATGTGATGTCATAGCCGCCATTTTTGTTGACTTTGACAAAAGATTTGATCCTTGTGACTTGGTCAACCAACATGGCGGCCATGTTTTTGTCCTCTTGGGAAGGGGTGCATGCCAATAGTATAGGAAAATTATAAACTGTCTGCCTGGCCACTCTACTTCTCTCTTTGTCTACATCGTATATTTTAGGATAGAATAGGTTAGGAACGATTTTGAAAACACAATCTTCTGCTAATGTAAACACAAATGAGGTGGTTGCGTAACCCATCTTGTTACTCTATTTCCGTAAAATAACCGATCGATAAGTATAAATGACTAGGAACCTTATAAATATTTTTGAAAATATTTGTATGTACATGTTATATGTGGAACTACCAATGGTGCACGCGGTCACGTGGTCAGCAATAAGTAGAATGTGTCTGTTATACATGTTTACTTGCCTTTCTATCGCGGGTAACGTTGTGCGAGTATGGATCTATGCTGGGAGCCGGAAGCCGGTATAGTTGTATAGATGAGTATGACCAGATATTTTGAAGCAGTAGCTATGGCCATTAAGGCCAAGGTGAAATTCAATATGTTGTCAACGGACTTAAATTGTCTGACGAGTGTTGATAGTTTCTTTCAAATACACTTTATAATACTCGCGAAAAACAGTGGAAAATAATATTAATGTTTCCAGATAAGTGCAATAACTTGATGACATCATATCTTCCTATCAGTAGAACCTGAATCATAAGAAACATTTCCAAGATCCAAAATCCTATTACTAATAATAATATCTTAATCAGTAGTTGCACCAAATGGGGATATTAAAAATCACTAACATTACCATAAAGTTACGTTTTATATTCTATGCATATATATGCACCTCTCGGCCTTGATGTTGTTTTTTTGTACAGAAGAAGGAAAGCAACGCCTCTCGAGATTTTAAAAGCAATGTTGTACCAAATGGATACTGACATGACCAATCACTTACGCCTATCATTACGTTCTATATTCTATGTATATATGTGCACCTCTCAGCCTATATGTTTGTTTTTTCAGAGGAAGAAAAGCAACGCCTTTCGATATTTTAAAAAGTAGTTGTATATCCAAATGGGGACGTTACTCGCAATCACTTATAAGATTAAGTTTTATATTCTAAGCATTTATATTCTATGCATTTGTACACCTCTCAGCCTATATGTTGCTTTTTACAGAGGAAGGAAAGCAACACCTTCCGAGAGAAAGTTAAGTAAACACTATCAAAAGCTTCCGTTAGTTCAGACATGGCTTCGAGATACGATGGAATAGTATTATAAAGGGTTATAAAAAATTAAGCGGGATGCCTGCTTCAAGTGAATAAAGAAAAACGACTATAAGATACGTATTGGAAAATAACTGAGATGCTTCTACGTGTGTAGACTGTTCTCTTATCACATCGCCTTGTCAAAACTAGATAACCGTCGCGTTCCCTAGTTATTATTGTGAACCTATATCATCTTGAAGCATTTACCAGGGGCTATCGGTCATCTCTTTCTGTAGACGTTTTCGAGAAGCTAACTTTGGGAGGTATTCCAAAGCCATCTGGCCACCAAAGAACACTCGAACAACTCGAAACTGTAGCGATTCTTGATTAGCTTCATCGAGACGTGATCTGCGGTGACGGTAGTATTGAAACTTTCGATAATAGGATAAGTAGACACTTCAATATTTTTCAGCGTCTTGCTTTAATAATAGATTTGCGTGGTTGTCGAAGAGATTCAGGAAATTTGATTAAATCAGTACTCACTCCGCTAGTTACCTCGCCCTTGCCTGAAGCGTTTGTCTGGGAATATTCTGGTCTTTTGTCCCTGTGGTTCCTTCAAAATTAATAATAGTTTGACTAGTACTGACACGGCTGAAGTGTCCTATGGCCTTACTGTCTGTACGGAAGGTTTTTGCAAGTTTCTCTTTTACTTAAACTATATATTTGTCGCAAAAAGTGGAGCCGAAAGTCTCCACACAAACTTTTCCCGTTCACGCCGTCCCTCATCACCCCATTGCCTTCTTATTTTCCAATATTTTATTCACCTTCTTAATGCGTCTTACTTAATCTAAGTATCTCAGTACACTGAAAGACCATTCAAGATTAAAACTCGTTTTTCATCCCACTTCAGTGATTTGCTATGTTCTGCTGTTTGTATCACGTTCTCATGTACAAAGGAAAGCAGTAATGACTGAGACTAAGAAAGTAGCCTTGAAAATGATCGCCAATTCCAGACAATCTTTCGAGCTATTTCGCGAGACAGCAAGTCCTTGAGCACTGAATTAAAACCTCGTTAATCCACGCCAGTGATAATACATTTTTAGAGATGTTTAACCTTTAAGGTCGGTCATCACATTTAAAAGAAATTTTCGTGAAACGAAATGCCTATTTTTTTCCCTCTCTATTTTAAGACCACATTCTAAAAAGGAACACCCATATACCCCCAAAGGTGCAAAAACAGCTATTATACAGTTGTCAGTCGTTGACCGCATTTCTGTTTTCCTAATATTCAAATGTCTGATTTCCTAACACACGTGCCGTTCGTATTAAAGCATGCTTGTTTACGTCACCTAGACAAACCCTTGAGGCGGGTGTTGACATAGGGGATGAAGATCAGTGTTTTATGGAAAGAAACCTTGGAGCCGTAGTTAAGGTCAAAAAAGGGTCGGCTCGACTTGACGCAAGGCGGTTCACGCTGACAAATACAAGAGTGGATATACTGAGGTATGTCAATGATGGAGGATCCAGTAATGGTATTGATGCACAAAACGTGGTCGAGAAGAGACCTTTTTACCTTAGGGGTAATGTTTGCCATTTAAAACTACGTGTCATTCTCTTGAGAACAAAATTCTTTGTTTGAGTTGTATCTATATTTATGTCTCTTCTCGTGCGCAACCGTTAAACAAAGAAATAATACTCTAGGAAATGACACGTGGGCTGAAATGGGAAAACATTACGCCTAAGGTAAATGAGTCTATTGGCACTGCCAAAAATAATGAGGTCTAGCGTTGTGGTTCACTTGAAATAGCGAATTAAATGTTTGCGTGCGCACAACAAGAAAACTTTACCGAAATACTATTGATTATTTATCTTCGACGCAAAGGTCTTCTTATATCGTACGCGCTAATCAATTCATAGTATTAGTGTACATAACACGGATGAAAAGTTGCGCAATTCTATAAAGCAATCTGTATATTAAGAAAAAATATAGATGAATAATACTATATTTTATTTTGCGCAATTGTCAAGGAAGAAAAGTTTCTTAACATATTTCTTGCGAAAGCACTTCGCGCGCTTATACAGAAACAGATGAATAGCATTGATCACTTAGATACACATTATTTCCTCATGTGCACTAAGCGTGCAACTTCTTCGAACCATAGAATCAAATATAGTAGAGGCTTATATTCAAGATGATGGCGAAGCTAAACGCAGATTTATATATCTAGGTGCATAGTCAAATCTCGCAGTGTTTATTATATTGGCTAATATTTTTGTTAAACATGAAAGAGGTTTACGAAGGCTCAGTTATATATTTAGACGCACTGCATCTTTCAGTACTCGAGCAGTTAATGTTAGTATTACTATCTTTGTATCGCTGATGCAGCTCTTTCACAAAAGGTTTTTCTTACGAATATGGTAAGACTGAGTATTATTGCGGACTGAATTGTATGCCATAGATATTATGACGAAAGTCCGGATCTTATAAGCTAAAATCAGGACAAGACGCGGGCAATTTGTATGTAGAATTAAATTAGCATGATGTCGCCATTAAACTTTATTGCATTTGATGTAGACTACTCAAAATAGTATACTTCCCTATATTCAAAATTTGTCAATGGTAATTTTCAGCCTTGTAACGCGCCCTTTCATGGGTTATTTATCATCCACATACCCACCGTTTGTGCAATGCCTGCATAAAACACAAGCTTTAACTCTTCGAGTAGTTCAGTGTATGTCTTAAGGTACCACTAAAAAATGAAATCTCGAAGCAGACCTATCATGCTATAAAATACTAACTGCCTTTAAAGTTTCAACAAGTTCAAGATCAAGTCAATTGAAACTCATAGAAATTCCAAACACTGGCCCACTACCTTAGAAATTGCGAGAAATCACCTCCTAGTTGGCGCGAAACACTGGACAAAGTTTTTCTAAAACTTCGTTTTACGATAACCACTCCAAAAACACTCAAAAGTTGTTGGCAAATCAGGTAATTGATTACTATTACGTATTTTGGTACTATCCGCGCAAGAGTTTTCACAATTTATTAAAGATTATAACCCGATTCTTGTGTACAATGTACTGGAATTCCACCACTGGGATCGTCAAAATCCACGCATTTCTTAGCTCCAATCGCATTTTTGTGTCTTTGTTGTTTTCTATTGGAATTCCTAATACTGTAGGGATGTGATGAATGGCACGCGTTTGTGTTTATTTGAGTTTGTTTGTGTCTGTTGGATTGTTTGTTTGAATTGAAGTAGCAAAACACTTTTTTGTTGATTTTCTCTAAAGAAGACAAATTCTTAAGACGTATTYTAGCCTTTTTGTTTTGGGGCATTCTTTTTGGTAAACGTTGAAACCGATTGTGACCTTTGGTAGCAGCGGTACCCGGTAAGTATTGCTGTATTGGATGTTAATTTGAAAACAAAATAAATCCAATTATATTTATGTTCTTTCTTAGTTTTCGTAAACTCGATCTCGAGTCACCAGAATCAAATCTTCGCCACACATCAAGACGTACGGAGCTAGTCCAGCGCCCTGGTTATCTAACTATCCATCGCATCCATCTATCAAAACCCAGACAACATCTTGAGATTAAAATCTTTTAAGACCTCTAAGACTCTAAATCATCCGATGCCAGAACAAATTAGCTACAGTATTTTCGTTCTCGCGCTTTGAATTTTGCACCGAAAATTTGCTCCATCTGGGAAAAGATTGTAAACATAGAGAAACGTTTCAATTGGAACTATTTTACTAACATCGTTCAAGGTCAAAAGCCACTGCAAGCTTGGTGTTTTGTCTGAGTAACTGATACTTTATTAATTAGTATCATAATGGTACTTTAAAATACTTAAAGTGTTTGTTTTGTTCAGTTTTTGGAACTATTTTCAATTGTTAAAAAAAACATTCAAAGAGGATTTCTAGCCAGAAATGCATCAAACGTTTCCGGTGATCTTAGAGTATGACCTAGTTCTCTTTGTTAACGATAATAATCAATGGTTAATTTTGAACATTATTCTTACTATACGCAGCCGGATCTCTTGCCACACGTATACCTGCTCAAGTCTGGGGCCTTACAGCATACTTCAGTTAACTAAAACAGAATACAGTTTGATTGCTTGGCTTGATACGAATCTAATAAAAACACTGGCAAAGCAGAACTATCGGCTTTCTTCAAATTAACGTGATAGAAACACACAAGTAACCTTACGCTCCCTAGTGTGGAAGATGTTAACATTACATTACATAATATCAGTCGATTCTGCTTTAGATTTCGAAGCTGACAAACCAGGGAATTCCCCATTATTGAATTTCTGACGTTTTAACAGCCTAAATTGGTGTTATAGTGCGATTATCGTAGTGAAAAAATAAAGTACTCACATTTGGTTGTGATTCCAGTGCCGTCCGCGACGTAGTATGTCTTTACTATGAATCAGTCGTTCAATGTACGTACGTCACACTCTTTAAATGACCAATAGCTTCTTTGTTACTGTCTGCCGTCAGTAGTTTCCACTCGCTTATATACCTTCCCTTGACGAATCAGATTCTTTCTGGTTCTTTAATCACAATTCCGTTTTCCTTTTAAAGACTTGGTTATCAACATAGCATAGCTGACATGCTAAGCATGCTTGTTTTACGCTATTCCAAGCTCTGCGTTGGTATTAATCTGTTGCACGCGCCGTTAAGCTATTAATGGAAACGACAGATATTCCTTACGTCTCGTTTTAGCCAACCAATGACATCACGAAATGATCCGGGACTGCCACATTGCCATAACCGCATGATCATTCCACACCAGTCTGTTCGCCATTCCCTTTTTTTTTTTCGTCAGGGTGAACCGTCTTGGAGCTGGAGTGCAATACGTGGGCGAAATCTACATGCAGCTGAACAGAATTATTGTCCAGGGATCCTCCTTAATGAGACAACAAAATTTTAAAACGTGTTGGTATTTTTGGTGTTGGTATTACGTTTATGAGCATGATGCTAATCCAGAACTTTTCTAACTCGTAGAGCGAGATCGATTTTAAACTCCACTCCAAAAAAACTATTTTCCAATTTTCAAGAAAATTGCAATTTTTACAACTTTTGTTCATGAAATAATTGGACCAGTTCTTATTACTTTGATTTCGTGCCTCAGTAAAATTCTTTGGATTATCCTGCCACATTTACAATTCAAGTACTTCAGGAAATCTTGCTGGAAGGGGACAAAACTTAGCCTGCTAGTTGACACTAATTTGTGGCCTTTCCAAATGAAGATATAGCTCTCTCATGTTTGATATGTAATAAAGCAAGGCTTAGAGCTGTATTGTTGAACTTCTCAATCGTTCTTGCTAAAAATAAGTTGATAAACACATTGATGCATCGAGCAGCAAGTCATTTATATTTTTGACCTCATTTAAAGTAAAAAAAGGAGATGCATCCTTTTTGTACCGCCAAATAAAAAACCATTTAAAAAATCAAATGTTTCTTTTTCAAAAATTTATCATTATTYATCATAATTAGCAAATGACTTTAGTTGCAGCACACGCTTCTATCGCTCAATCATGCAGAATTATGCAATTCATGAATGAATGCATGGAATCTCTTCAAAACACATTTGCAATGGACTCATATCTCTCGTTAAATTGACCTACTTTTAAAATGAGATTAAAAGTGTTAAACAAAGTGTGTAGATATGTCTCGCGCGCTGATTGGTTAAAAGATTCCTCAAGTGTATCTGTATCATGTGGGAGCGAAATTTCTACTCTGTTTAGAACTTGCGCGGTATTTGCAAAACAAATTGTCAAAAAATTCATTGCATGGATGTTTTTCCAATTCAAATTGTCGTTCTCTTGAGTATGATTTCTTTATKCGCCAGTAAGACAAACTTATTCTCTGAGCATGCAATGACCCATGGTTTGAAATAGGAATGAAACTTGTTCTAAGATAGGATATGAAATAAGACTGAGATGAGGGCCATCTTAAGAAAGGAAGACATGGATAAAGGTCCACTTAAGTTTGTTATTCTGAGTGATTGATTCTGATCTATCATGATCATTACTTATTTCAAGGAGTCTGACATGGGACACCTGTCGGCCATCAGTCTGTATTGCTTTCATCAAAATGGCTGACGTCAAGTGATATCATGCCGAGAATTGCAAAAAAAGAAAAAAAGAAAAAAGAAAAAAAAAATTATTTTCAGTGTTTACTTTGACGAGATTTTTTCTAACTTTCAGATATTCTAGTCCCATCCTAATGTGCTTGAGCATGTTTCCTGCTTGCTTCCTCGCAAGACATTGTGWCATCATTTGTATCCTCATGTGGTCGGTGTCTGGTTCAATATCGGTATTGTTTCTATTTCCTTATCTGCCCGGCCCAAACAATCCGCTTTGTGTATTCAAATAACTTGATACCATTCAGTAGTCTCAGTTTTAGACCATCATGTAAACATTTTTAACTTGGGCGTAACGTTTTGGCCATTTCAGACTACGTGTAGAGTATTATTTCATTGTTTACTTTTGTACAGAAGACACATGAGTATGGATACAACTTGAACGAAGAATCTTATTCTCAAGAGAATGACAC